TTGCCCTTAGACAGGACATCTCTACTGCCTCCAACCGCCTCCTCGCTGCTGCATCCACAACCCAAGCTTCACACCCATTTAAGAGTGTTGGTACTACTATACTTTCACACATTCCCTTCTTTGCCTCCATAGATAACATTTTTTGTCTCCACATATACCTCAATGCACCACTCACCTTTTTTCCCTCATCAATTCTATGATTAACCTCGTCCTTCATAAATCCATCTGCTGACACATCAACTCCCAAGTATCTGAAAACATTCACTTCTTCCATACTCCTCCTCCCCAATTTGATATCCAATTTTTCTTTATCTAAATCATTTGATACCCTCATCACCTTACTCTTTTCTATGTTCACTTTCAACTTTCTACCTTTACACACTCCCAAACTCATCCACTAACCTTTGCAATTTTTCTTTAGACTCTCTCATGAGCACAGTATCATCAGCAAAAAGCAACTGTGACAATTCCCATTTTGTATTTGATTCCCCATAATTTAATCCCACTCCTGTCCCGAACACCCTAGCATTTACTTCTTTTACAACCCTATCTATAAATATGTTAAACAACCAAGGTGACATTACACATCCCTGTCTAAGACCTGCTTTTACTGGGAAGTAGTCTTCCTTTCCTCTACACACCCTAACCTGAGCCTCACTATCCTCATAAAAACTCTTTACAACATTTAGTAACTTACCACCTATTCCATATGCATGTACTTGCAACATCTGCCACATTACTCCCCTATCCACTCTATCATATGCTTTTTCTAAATCCATAAATGCAGTAAAAACTTCCCTACCTTTATCTAAATACTGTTCACATATATGCCTCAATGTAAACACTTGATCTACACATCCCCTATCCACTCTGAAACCTCCTTGCTCATCCGCAATCCTACGTTCTGTCTTACCTCTAATTCTTTCAATTATAACCCTACCATACACTTTTCCTGGTATACTCAGTAAACTTATTCTTCTGTAATTTTTACAATCGCTTTTGTCCCCCTTCCCTTTATGTAAAGGGACTATACATACTTTCTGCCAATCCCTAGGTACCTTCCCCTCTTTCATACATTTATTAAACAAAAATACCAACCACTCCAACACTATATCCCCCCCTGCTTTTAACATTTCTGTCATGATCCCGTCAGTTCCAGCTGCTCTGTACCTCCTTTCATTCTACGTAATGCCTCATGCACCTCCCCCACACTCACATCCTGTTCTTTTTCACTCCTAAAAGATGGTATACCTCCCTGGACAGTGCATGAAATTACTGCTTCCCATTCTTCATCAACATTTAAAAGTTCCTCAAAATATTCTCGCCATCTACCCAAAACCTCCATCTCCCCATCTACTAACTCCCCTACTCTGTTTTTAACTGACAAATCCATTCATTCTCTAGGCTTTCTTAACTTGTTTAATTTGCTCCAAAATTTTTTCTTATTTTCATTAAAATTTCTTGACAGTGCCTCTCCCACTCTATCATCTGCTCTCCTTTTGCACTCTCTCACCACACTCTTCACCTTTCTTTTACTCTCCATATACTCTACTCTTCTTATAACACTTCTGCTTTGTAAATACCTCTCATAAGCTAACTTTTTCTCTTTTATCACACCTTTTACTTCATCATTCCACCAATCCTCATTCCTCCTGCACCCACTCTCCTATAACCACCAACTTTTGCCCCACATTCTAATACTGCATTTTTAAAACTATGCCAACCCTCTTCAACCCCCCCACTACTCATCTTTGCACTAGCCCACCTTTCTGCCAATAGTTGCTTATATCTCACCCGAACTTCCTCCTCCCTTAGTTTATACACTTTCACCTCCCTCTTGCTTGTTGCCATTTTCCTCTTTTCCCATCTACCTCTTACTCTAACTGTAGCTGCAACTAAATAATGATCCGATTTATCAGTAGCCCCTCTATAAACGTGTACATCCTGGAGCCTACCCATCAACCTTTTATCCACCAATACAAAGGGGACAAAAGAGAGTGAAAAAATTATAGGGGGATAAGTTTGTTGAGTATACCTGGTAAAGTGTATGGTAGAGTTATTATTGAAAGAATTAAGAGTAAGACGGTGAATAGGATAGCAGATGAACAAGGAGGCTTTAGGAAAGGTAGGGGGTGTGTGGACCAGGTGTTTACAGTGAAACACATAAGTGAACAGTATTTAGATAAGGCTAAAGAGGTCTTTGTGGCATTTATGGATTTGGAAAAGGCGTATGACAGGGTGGATAGGGGGACAATGTGGCAGATGTTGCAGGTTTAGGGTGTAGGAGGTAGGTTTACTGAAAGCAGTGAAGAGTTTTTACGAGGATAGTGAGGCTCAAGTTAGAGTATGTAGGAAAGAGGGAAATTATTTCCCAGTAAAAGTAGGCCTTAGACAAGGATGTGTGATGTCACCGTGGTTGTTTAATATATTTATAGATGGGGTTGTAAGAGAAGTAAATGCGAGGGTCTTGGCAAGGGGCGTGGAGTTAAAAGATAAAGAATCACACATAAAGTGGGAGTTGTCACAGTTACTCTTTGCTGATGACACTGTGCTCTTGGGAGATTTCTGAAGAGAATTGCAGAGATTGGTGGATAATTTGGAAATGTATGCAAAAGAAGAAAATTAAAAGGAATACAGGAAAAGAAAGGGTTTATGGGGATAACAAAAAGATTAGGTAAAAAAAGATGGATTCAGTTTGGAGGGAGAGAGTAGGAGGAGGAAAATGTTTTCGATATTTGGGAGTGGACGTGTCGGGGATGGGCCTAGAAAGATGAGGTGAATCCAAATTGATGAGGGGAAAAGGTGGGGGTGCACTTGGGGAGTCTGTGGAAAAAAGAATTTTGCCTTGGAGGCAAAGGGGGGAATGATGAGTATAGTTTTAAAAACCAACGCTCTTAAATGGGTGTGAAGCAGGGGGTGATAATTTTTTGCAGCGGGGAAAAGGGGCTGGCGGGAGAGTCATGTCTGAGGCAATTTGGTGTGAATATAATGCGAAAATTTCTTTTTTGGAAGTTGGAGGGGGTCGGGTTAACCAAAACTGTTGCCAGATTGCTGGGGAAGGGTTGTTGAGGGGGTTTTGGGACATTTAAAGAATGGAGCGAAGCAGAAAAACTTCAAGGGGAAAGGGAAAGGCGGGGTGGGGGCGGCCTGGGAAAAGGTTGGAGGGAGGGGTAAAGGGAATTTTTGTGTGCGAGGGGTTTTTGGACTTCCAGCGGCATCTGACGGTCTGAAAGTGAAGGAGACAAAAGTTTTTAACCTTTGACTTTTTTCGACGATAAAAACTCTTACGGGCCAATTTTTGACTAAAAATACTCAATAATTCTAGCCTTCAAATAAAGTGGGGAAAAAAGCGGAGGCCCACATGTAGAGAAGGGGTCTGTGTGGTCAGGTGCACCACAAAAAAAATCCGCAGCACACATTGCGAAAAAGAGAAAAAAAAAACTCTATCGTTTTTTTGAAAAAACGCCGACTTTGAGGGTTTTTCGTATAGTATTTATCATTGTATTTGCTTTTTCATGGTCTTGGTGATAAAAGGAAAACTTTTTTTCAGAAATAGCGATGATTTTCATTACTTTTACGATAAAAACGACCTTGAAACAACTCAAAGTAGCGAAAATGTTCGTTTTTTACCAAGTTGAAGAGTAAATAAATCACACCACACGCCAATACACTAAACGGGGAGTCTAATATTTTTTCACATGCACTGAATTATTATCCTTTTTTACAATAATGCTTTTCTCTGCATAACAGAAAATTTTTTGTTTTTTTTTGTATGAAAAAAAATCAAAATAAACAATAATAAATATAAGAGGGGCCCAGAATGTGACTAATGAACAGAGCATGTTATTTAGTGCCCCAAAATCACCTTGTTTATTCTACCCTATTTTTTAAATTGGCATCTTTTTTATTTTTCGTGAAATTGGCCAAATTGCCAATTTCTGACCACCAATGGGAAACCAAATTAGTAAAAGGGGGGTTTCCTTTTTACCAGCTGATAGATAAAATGGATTCTAAAGAAATAGCTAAGTTTTTGGTCAACTGGGAAAAAAGGGAAATTTGGGGTTTAAAATTGGGGCCAAATCGCGAAATCCCGAACCATATGTCGCCGAGAACCGCTAAAATTGCGGACCATAAAACCACGAGTTTTCGACCAAAATTTTTTGAAATTTTGGGGTCATTACCATCGGGGAAAAAATCTCTATCATTTCATAAAAAAAAATTTTTTTTTTTTTTTAAAAATGAGCGACAAAATGACAGTTTCAGAGAGGGGCCTGAAACATCAAGGTTAAACTTGACGGCTGTGGAGTGTGAGCAAATAACACTTATAAGGGGTTCAGGGGAAAAAAATGGCAGGCCGGACTTTATCCTGGAGTGGGAAGTACAGTGCCTGCACTCTGAAGGAGGTGTAATGTTGCGTTTTAAAAAATGTAGTTTAAAGCACCCTTTGGGAAGACATGATGGAGTGAATGATGGGGAAAAGTTTTTCTTTTTCGGGCCACCCTGCCCGGGGGAATAGGCCAGTGTATAAAAAAAAAAAAAAACATAATCAACAAACACCTTCGTTACGTGCTAATCAATCTTGAAATTTTTTTTTCCTCTTCTTCATAAAATATGTATTACTTATTACCAAACCTCTTTCTACACATAGCTCAATTAAAGGCTTCCCATTTTCATTTAACCCTGGCACCCCTACTACTCCCTCCACAACATTTTTGCCCACTTTAGCATTGAAATCCCCAACCACTTAAGGGAAATTGCAGTGCTGTGATGCTAAGCATTCCAGTTTTTTAAGAATCTGCTGTACTTTATTTCTATTATGGGTGGGTTGACTATGATGACTTGTGCAGTATTTTTTACTTTTGTGCTTATTTAATATTTATGTATAGACAGAGTCGGAAGACATTAGCTGTTTTTCTTATCTTCAGGACCAGTGTATCACTCAAGAACACTACAGCACTTGCATTAACCTTTTTACTTATCATTATTCCTTTCTTTCTCAGAAATACATAGAGAACGTGAAGCAGGATACAAATGTGGGAACAAATATTCTACGTGTTTCTGCATCTGACGAAGACGCTGATAACAATGGTGCCATTATCTACAATCTGACATCAGCAGCAAATCCAGGAGACCTGGAGTACTTTGAGGTCCAGCCAGAGTCAGGATGGATCATTCTCAAGAAGCCTTTAGACGTAAGTAACAGTAATGGGGAATCTTAGATATGAAGTGAGAACTGATATACATATACTCTATAGTGATACATACCTCTGAAGAGTTTCAAGAGTTTATCTATTCTCTGAGCCCAGCCATGGGCTAGGCAGTAGGCTTTCATTACACAATAAGAGAAGTGTGTAGTAATTAAAGATATTGATGACTAAGTAAAAAAATTATTGATCATTAAATTTTAAGTGATGGAAGAATAATGATTGAGTTTTAATAATAAGTCCTAAACTTGATGATCGTGAAAATTTATAAACATAAGATGTTGATTTTTATACACAGTACTTGCATGTTTTATTTATCAGTTGTTCCTAAGGTTGAAGTTAGGTTGTTTGAATGTAGTACAGTATATGGATGTGTTGTAGATGATTGAATGTTCATGGATTTATAGATGGTTTAATTGTGTATATATTGTAGTGTTTGTTTGAATATGATTTTGGTGCAGTGTGAAATTGCAGAAATTACAAAATGATCATAATATGCTCATTGTACTTAATATGAATTTTTAATTTGATTAGAAACCAAACATTCACACTGTGGTATGAATGCTAGGAAACGGTATGTGTTAAGTGAAATAGTTTAAAAGGTCAGTGAAACAGTGTAAAAGGTTAGGAAAGTTTGAGGAGTTAATGGAATGCACTTGGTAGTACTGCATGTGCATGAGAGAGAATTATAGGTGTAATGATGATACTGTTAATTTAAAATAAAAGACTGTCACAAGAGAGCCACAGGGGAGGTTGGATAGAAGCCTTTTGCACTGTTCCCAATGCTTCGTTAGGAGCATTTAGTATTTATTTGATCTCTGGTTTGTGATTATTTAAAAAAAAAATGGTGTACATGTTTTCATTCATTAAGTTGAGAATGAAAGTGGGATGTTAAAGGGGCAATAGTGCTTATTCACAGGGATGGGAGAAAAATGTTGAGGGGTGAGAGATGTTTTTGGGAGGTTTCATGGGATTGTTTTGGGAATTAGAGTTGAGAGAAAAATATTTTTAGGAGACTAATGCAAAAGCAGGAGACACCATGTGGATAGTGTAAGAATTATTGAAGATCTTGTGTAAATAATACTGGGAACCTGTACCTGGTTTGTGCTCTAAGACTTAGGTGATAGGCACTGCAGTTTTTAAAAGAAAAATTTAGATAAGGATCATTGTGAGGTATGATGAAATGTTGTAAGAACAGTCTACTGGAGTGTGAGTTACGTTGAAGTATTGACTGGTAAAACATTTTGAGATGCTATCAGTGGTCAGAAAAAGTTTGGCTAGTTTTTGAATGAAAGTGATGAACATGTTGGGAAGGTGTGGAAAAGTTTGAGAGGTTTGTGGTTACAGAAGACTAGGTGCAGGAGAAAAGATACTTGGAAAGATGTGTAATAAAAAAGTTTGAATGTGAAAAGCTTTTGCAATGCAAAAAAAATAGACAAGAATGACTATAGACAAAAAATGGTTAAAAAAGCATTGATAGTTGTGCAAAAGAAGAGGAAAATGATTTTATATTTATAATAAAAATGACCAAGTACCCTGTATCCAATATTATACAATATCACTCCGGAATATACAGCATTA